AGGGAGCTCAGACCTTTGATAGGGAGCTCGCTCTTAACAAGGAGCTCGGACTAAGTACAGCGGACTGGAGTCCGAGCTCGGTAGTGAGTTTGGACTTGCTTCCGATGTTCGCTTTGGGTGCTCTACTGTCCCGAGCTGCTTGCCTTTGCCACGTGTCGGGCGATCGCGAGGTCGGGCCAAATTTCCCTTCATCAAAAAGGCAAAAGGATAATCAAATAACGAAAACAAGCTTAAGTAATTCAACAGATCTCGAGCCTCGGAAGCAAATCACAAAGTCCAAGAATTCAAATTCAAAGAACTCAACCAAAAATAATGTTAACTAGAAACCGAAACAAACACATAGTATTATAATTAAGAAAGAAACTTCAAAGCTAACGAATCAATCAAGAAATTTTACCTGAACTGTAACTAGCTGGACTCGAGCATCAGTGGTGACGATCGCAGACGCAGCAACACTTATAGTGTCCATGGTGTTATTGACGCCCCTCATGTCTCCTCTCGTTGATCAAAACTACCCTAATTTTATCCAAAAGCAATAGTTCTTCTCTCGCCAATAATGACCCTAAATCTAGCTACCCTGGTTCTTACGACTCCGGTAAAACCATAACTTCCAGAGCAAGAAAGAACTCAATCACGGTAATTCGAATATCATACCAAAACCAACAAAAGACAAAAACAGAGAGAGAGAGAGAGGAGAAACAAGTAAGGAACATTAATCTATAAAAGAACTAGAAAAGATCAAAGCAATCTCAGTCTTGACTCGTTGATGTCAAACACGCAATAACTTGGATTTGCAATTAACTATTGAGCTAGAAAGCTGATTTATAGAAAAAGCCCTTCATTAGACTCCTAATTTCTTGTTGTAGCCTACAGAATGTAACTGCCGAATTCACAAAGGTATTCCTAGAAGAAACAACAATAATTAATAGCAACTCTGAGGCCAATTCCGTCAACCAATTGTTGGTTGGTTTGGATTGGAGGAGTTTTTCACATACCAAACCAAACCAGCACTCCATCCTCGTCACTGCCTTTTGTTTTTGATATTATAAAGGTAGTATAGAGATTAAAAAATATTATTAGCGGTGGATTTTAACGGAAAACAAAGTACAGGGGGGTCTTTATCGCAAAACAAAGTACAAGGGGTCTTTGTCACAGACCCCATAGTACAGGGCAGTCTTTGTAATTTACCCTTATATATTTATTAATAATTATTATTTTTTTAACACTTACTATTAATAAAATATTAATAGTTAATATTAATATTAATAAAAATTAATAATTACTATTAACATAATATTAATTAATTACAAAACATAATATTAATAATTACTAACAAACAGAAAATTGTCAACATAAATAGTTACCCTTAATATTAAAAAATAATATTAATTACCAGAAATCAATATAAGTATCAAAAAGTTATCAACACATTACCATAAATTAGTAGATATTATCATTATTTCCATAAATTATTTACTAATAATAAATATAATTAGGATAATAATGATTAATATTAATAATTACTAATACCGATGATCAATATTATGCTCTTGCAAGCCCTAAAGAATGTTAAAAATTTCCATTGCCAATTTGCCATTAACAAATGGTGTGCCCAATTTCTATTGGTGGGTTTATGTAAATGGTGGACATAAGAGAATTCAGATCTGCTACTAATAAATGCTCACAACACTGTCACAACTAGTTAGTACAGTTGCACATATGGAAACATCTCTCCATGAATGATAAGTCTATATTTGATTTGAAGGAAAAAGTAGGAAAAGATAGGAAACAATCAAGGGAGATGTTCACAATGTACAACTACACTCACTTGTTGGGACAGTATTAAGAGCATTTTATTGGTAGCAAATCCCTATCTGACAAACTAATGGCATCAAAAGCCATGATTTCTCAGTTTTAGCCGTGGAGTAGCTGCTGATTTCTTCTCATGCACTAACAAACTAATAGCATGGTCTAGTGTTGTATCAACAAGTGTAATTCATGCATGCTAAGTCAACTTACATGGTGTTTGGAAGCGTGACTGCTTTTTGGGACAGATATTCAAAAAAAAAAAAAAACCGCCCATGCTTCCAAGACCCATTTTTCACAAAAAAAATACTTTTGCCACGTAGGCTGTGAGCAATACTATGTTGTTTGGTAAGGTAATTCTCATCACTGTTTTTCATGTATGTGCTGATAGGTAAGCACCATATAGGATATACATCAGTCAACCGTTAGGGAAAACAGGTCATTGATGCACGAGATGCCAAAGTTGGCATTTCATGAATTGGTGGGGTCCCAATTTTCGAGACATGCCCAATTTTTTAATAGATTGAACCAAACAATGAGATACATGGGCGTTTGTTGAAACGCCTATGTGGATCCGACGTGACACCGTTTTTTTGCACTCAATATATTTGCTTTTGTACTCCTTTCAAACTGACCCTAAATGTTTTCTTACAACTGAGTGTCATTTGCACCAAACAGTGAAAAGGCACCCGTAGATCCAAAAAATTAAAATGTCGTTTTTTTTTACATTTTTCCTATAAACAGCTCTCACATAACCTGGGAGAAACATTTATCCTTTAAATGATTCAAACAAATTAACACTTAATGGTTTTTTTTTATTAAATGCCTACTTGGCGTTGCACCGGAACTGTTGCTCCTTAAAACGCCATCAATACCAAACACCATCTAGGTCTAGATCTCCTACACTTTTCTCTCACTTTTTCAAGTATTTCATCAACGCCCCTTGTTTTCTCTCGGTCCAGATCAGATAGCACAATGCAATAAGCATATTTAATGAGTACTTGAAAAATTTTTTGATACCTGTCTCTAAAATACCTCCAACCTATCATTGAAAAATATTAAAAACCACTTTTGATAATTGTTAGAATATTTATCAAGTATTTATTAAATGTGCTTACTATATTATGCCTACAAAATCTGATTAGAATCCGGTAGGCACACATGATGACCACACTAAATAAGCACATTATCATAATATTCACATCCATCCATTAAAAACCTCCCAACCCACACTCTTTATTATGCCTCACACATGAAGTCAAAAGCACACCCACCATCCTAATTCCTATCCCCCCACTGTACTCAGGTCTCGTACCCACGAACTCTTCCCAAATCCTTAGGCAGGCATTATATCTTCATTGTCATTCATGTGTAAATATTTCCAATATACAGCAGTAGTGTTTCCTCCATCACGGATTTCCCATCCACAAACTCTTTACAAATCCTTACTTACATGACATTATAGGCAGGCATAAGGAATATCTCCTTTGTCATTCATGGGAAATATTCCCAATATACAGCAGTAGTGTGTTGTGGGTGTGGAAAATGTTTGCGGGTAGGAGATTCAGAGTGGCCAACCTCACGCATACATACATATAGCTGAGTTGAGTCACTTGGGATCTGCTACCCACAAGTTGTTCCCACATCCTAAACCATGGAGCACCGTGTATTGAGAATATCTCCCCATAAATGACAAGGGAGATATTCCCAATGCGCAATTGTAACGTCTCGTGGGTAGAGATGTGCGAAGAGTCTAGATCACCTGCCAACAAAATATGTTCCAACTTCCAATACACTACCAACATCATTTGACACCGTACATCTCATACATGATAGGTCTCACATTTATGGTGGGTTCCAATACTTTGATAGTAAAATGTGCGGTGTAAAATCAAGTTGATTGAGTGTTGAAACGTGTTTTATTGGTAGGAGATCCCAACTTATGTGGGAACAGCATGTGGGTAGCAGGTCCGGGCCCAAATTGAATACTGTGATATGTATCTCTGGAGGAGCATGAGTTACATTCTGGTAGGTTGAAACTAAAGTCTCGTGGCTGCTCACCAATATCAATGACCATGGAGTTGAGGCACAATGAAGCTGTACATTCTATATTCAGTTATACATGACAATGTTCAAAGTATCGATACATATCGTATTGGGAGCTTTCCAATATGACCTTACAGGGGTTGTATCGGGTCAGACCATGCTTTAGAAGGTAGTCGGAACTTAAACTGACCCCTTGGAACTGGTTTTGAAAAAAGAAAATAAAACATAAAAAAAAAGCACATGACGTATCGGCCTTTATCTGATACACGGAGATTGGGGCGTGATAAATTTACTAAGAGACCCTCTACTATTAGCACATTTATCAACATACCTCCGGTCCATAGATTATCTCAGTCAGCTTGCGGAGATGAAGCTTGAGACGTGCTCCACTATATATAGCAAATTGATAACTTACGACATAACGTTGATAACTTACGACAAATGGGGTGCTGGGGGAAGCAATTCAATTAAGACTTCGAATTTAAAGGAAGAATTTTTCTTGGATTGGCGATTAAGATAGAGTAGAGGAATAATATTGCTTTTCGAAGAACAGAATTTCTGACATTTTGGCTCATCTCAAGAGCACAAATTATAGGCAAGGAAAGAATATAATTACATTGTCAAACAAATGCTTTATTAGTTAGAACTTAGAACCCCCTCCCCCCCTCCCCAACATAGCGCTCAACAGAATCTTCCCTAAGTTGCCATGGCTTCAAAGCCTTCAATCCAGAGCCAGGAGCCAACAGATGAAGGTAGACAAGATGCACAATGTACCGAACATGAAATCGGTAACATTGTAACCGAGGTGGCTACGGAGATGCTGAAGGATTTAACGGAACATAAGCACGAGAGACAAACATCTAACAATTCGGAATCTTCCAAGGAGGGAAAGGCGATCATCGAATCCAAGAACAAGGTGAAAGAATTAGGTAAGAAGGATGTGCAGAAGGAGCCTGACATCAAGAGTCATGGAGTTAAGCCAACCAAGACCAAGCATAAAAAAGGGGACGAGAAGAAGAAAAAGAAGAAAAAGGAGAAGGGTGATAATACTGATTATAGCGGTAGAGCAGCAGTTGAAAAGAAGAAAAAGAAGAAAAAGAAGAAAAAGGACGACGATGATAATACTGGTTATAGTAGTAGCAGTAGCAGCAGCAGCAGTGAGAGCGACGATGACACAAAATGCAAGAATAAGGTATGTGTCTTTGATGAATTACATATAGTGAAAACTGAAAAGGAACTCAGGTTCAGTCTTCATAAGACCATGTTCATGCCATCCTCACAGCTATTTGCATTCTTGCAACCGTGTATTGAGAATATCACTGTACTTGTATGTTTTTTATTCACCAGGAGATATTTCTAATGCATAACTGCAAGTGATTGTGTGGACGACATTAGCATTGTCTTATGAGGACTGAATCCCATGTCAGTAGTGGCCATTAATCATAAGTGGTAGTGGATTAAAAGAAAAGCATAATCAAGGTTGAAATGGAAAAGATCAATCAGATGTGACCATTAATTTGTTGCATTAGGAAACCAGAGCATAGGTGGGAAGTGGCATGAATTCGGATTTGGTCCTCACAACACCATCCATACAGGCCCTTGCCGCTGTGCATTGGGAATATCTCCTCATAAATAAAAATATACAAATATGAAGATGTTTCTAATGCCCAACTGCAAAAGGCTGTGAACACAGTGTGTGGAGGACCAAATCCAGTCTCAAGTGGCACACAGGAGCTGATATAGGCTGAATGAAATTTTCTTTGGCTGCGCTTGGAAACGATGCAAATGGAGTATAAATCCCGGTTCTGGGTAAATTTGCATTCTGGTTTACTTTTGCCTGTGTTTGATAATATTACATTTATGCATTGACAAATGACAGACCAATGCATATTTATATTGATAATAAGATGTAAAAATACATCAATAAAAAAGAAGTAAATTTGCATTCAAGTGGGCTTTTGATAAAAAAAAAAAAAAAGCTTATGCTGTATTGGAGTATATATTTGCACCCATTACAGATAAAAGTCTGTTTAGTAAGAATGTAAATTTGTCATTGTAAAACTAACCTAATTTCGCAATTTATATGAACCGTTTTACACTCTACATATTTACATTCACACTTATTTGCATTGTTTCCAATTGCGGCCTTTTATGTTTGGTGTTATTTGTGCAGGGGAAGAGTTGGCTATGGATGGGTGTAATTGGAAGCATACTGTTATTAACTGGGGGGTTAGTGGTGCAACAAGTTGACAAAATGAGGTTTGCGAAACTGCTAGGTGGATCACAAGCACAACTCAACCAAGAGAAAGCAGGTCAGGTCCCTCTCATATTAGAAGAGCAAAGGAGGAAGCAGAGCAAGGCAAAGCATACTGATGTCCCCTCTTCATACAGAGATGTCCAAATTGGCCCGTCTTGAAGTTCAATACAGAACTACATCCCTACAAATTCAACATATTTCCTTTACATGATATAGAATTCTTCTGTTCTGTTGGACTAATGGACTCTTTTAAGCAAGAACCACCTTCAGAAATCCACCTCTGTAATTGAAATTGAACTGTTCTGGCATCTTGTATAGATCTGGGATTTTATGATAGACCATTCTGGACAGATCAAGGCCTTCAACCAGAAATTTGGTTATATAATTTATAAAATATCCCCCAACCAGCTCTAGATGGGACTGTTATTGTTGTCAAGACGCCGCATAGGCAACAAGGCATTCAAATTGGGATCTGTTTCTGTCAATAGGCACATCCAGACATCCTACCGTGCATTAGAAACATCTTCCATAAATAATAATACAAAATTACAGAATAATATTCTCAATACATGGTGGAATGTGCCTGTAAGGTCAGTGTGAGGAGCACTGTATCTGGAGTACTGTATCTGGAGTCAAGGTACCCATGTTTGGGTGGTTTGCCCAAAAACCATGCATAATTAAGAAGAAAAAGTGCCCATCCAGGTGACCAGGTGCCCTCCCAGGCGATACAAAATACAACGCAGACCTCTTTACTATTGTTGCTATGGACATAATTAGCATGTAAGTTTATACCATAGTTTTCAAAATCGAACCACTCCGGAAGGTTGGACCGAAAAATCGGGAAACGGTCATTTGATCGGTTCCGTTTTATCCTAGAACCGTTTTTTGGCCAAAAATCGCTGATTTGGTCAGCAAACAGTTGATTCGGGTGATCAAATCATTTAAAGTATTCAACGGTTTTGGCCATTTTTTATTTTTTTTGTCAGAACAGGTCATCCGTTTGGTTCGAATGATTGGACTGTTCAACCTAGGAACTGAGCCCCTGACTTGTTCGATTCGATTTTAAAAACCTTGCTTCATATTATTTATACTTTGTTTAAGTATTTTACCATTGAAAATAAAAAATTTTAAGAAGGAAAAGAGAATTTTCTTATACAAAGCTGGAGAGTTGAAGGCCAATCTAAGAGGGGGAAGCTGGTATGGAATAATGCCCTGCAGCAGTTTTTTGGGGTGTATGGCAGGAGAGAAATGCAAAGATATTCAAAAAAGAGAAAAAAGTAGTCCGATATACACAGTATACAAGAAATTCTTGAAGAGAATATTTTCTTGGCTTACTAAGAACTAGTTATTTAGGGAGAAAATTATAGTTCCTTTTTTGTATATGATAATCTTTTTGTTGTACATGTATTTTTTTTATGAAATTATACTTTACCTTTTCTCAAAAAAACAAAGAGTTTTTAAATATTTTCCTATAGTTTCTTTTTAATATATTTCTTTTAGTATAAAATTATAACTTTCTCAAGTTGTTTCACTTGTTCGTAATTTTTGTCACATATGCCCCATACATGAACTAGGCAATTAGGCACTCTATTGTCACTTATGCTCCATTCGTTTTCACTTATTTAGGTGTAAGTACGTTTATCTAGACAAGTGTTTCTCAAGTAAAACTTGACTGGATAAGTGAAATTCCAATGTTCTTATGTGATATAGATTATTCGGGTAAAAGAAGAGGCTAAGGGAGAGAGTGTTATCGACATCCGGGTAAGTCGCTTACCCACCTTCCAGGAGGGTAACCGATACTCTCCCATATCTTCGCTTATCGTGAAACCCATTATAACGAAAAATGAATATAAGAATTATGGTTAATTTACCGATTAACCAAATTACCCCTCCCCCATTAAATACTGGCAAAGGAGCAAGGCCTTAGAATCAGGTAGACACCTTAACAACTATAGCATTTACCATAAAAAGGTGCTTACCATGGGGTAATGATGATGAAATTATTGCTATGGTGGTTGCTGTTGTTGCCTTGGTGGTGATGTTTTATCATTAAAGAGGATCATAACAATGCATGGCCAAAATTTATGAGATTCAAATCTTCAATGTCTAATTACCTCCTTTCCTCGACCGAGGAATCAAACTGGCAAAAGTATCATACTGTTTTAATTGAGGATGTTCACCAATATGCAAAATTTTGTATTTTTGTTTTTAAAACAAAATAAACTGTCATGTTAGTGAAAACAATTTAATTTATTATCCTTCGTTTTCCATGCATAAATGGTAATTTTACAACCTGCTAAGGGAAAACTGTCAAAAGAATAGCCATTCAGTAATTTTTTCGCAACTCATTGATAATTGATGCATGTCTTGAATTACTTGATGACCATGCAAGGTGTGCATGGTTTGATACTTTGATAATTCAGTAGGTCTCAAAACGGATCTTTTGAATCATGGTTAAGTATCTGCCAAAAGATTTAAAACGGGAAAAAAGACTTTTATGCCAATCTGCTTTGATTCTTTGTAAGCTGATGTTAGGATTTGAGTCTTGGGCAAGATTAGCCATACGTGCAGCTTAACCAACAGAATCTTGGGCCACTTGGCTCACTTGCAATCCAGTTGTAATTGGTTAGCTGGGTTGTCACACCGCAACCGTTTGTATTTGTAATTATAAATACCTGTTAAAGCTAAATACAGGAAAGTGGGCCCGTTTGGTGTGTTTTTTTGGGAAAATCTTCTAGTAGTTTTGATACTTAAAAGACGTATTGAGCTTTTGCATGAAAATCTGAATAGCCTGAAACACATTTGGCAAATGCACATCTTTCATTGCGTCTTTCCGCACGAGAATAAAATGCAAAAGACACGATAAGTTTCATTTGGAGCTTCCCAAAATCAGCCTAAAATGGGCTATTCATATCTTTTCGGTGTTCCGTCTTTTGGCAGCTAAATCTTCTATGCACCAAACGAAAATAGAATGAAAATTGGTCTTCCCAACTTGTAAACAGCCGAAAGACTATGCGGAAAGACGTGACAAATGCAACCAGAGTTTTCTGTTCTCAAATGTTTCAGGTAAGATGGTTTTTTGAAGTCAAATTTGTAAAGATCATTGCCAACTAGTGAAATAAACATCAGGTATACACACTGGAATGGATAAAGGTTAACATCGACGATGGTTTTGTTGGCTCAAATACTGCTAAAGGGATGAGAGATCCATCATATGGATGGCCGAACCCTACAGGTAGGTTGGGCGAATTTTCAAAAATTTCTCTCTCCCATGTGGGAATCACATTCCATGTTTTAGAAAATCTGCATTTTCAAGGATCAATCTTGAACCTAAACCGAACCATATCTGAAACCAAAAGGTAGGAGAGGGATATACTTGATATGAAATAGCAGTAACTCCCAACGAAGGTGTTCACACCCAAGGAAAACTCCAAAGACTGCTCCCACTGAAGATGACACAGCGTAGGGTGGAGCAGAATCAACAGGTGGTTCTTCACAAGAACTGAATCCTTCAGCAAGAATTCGATGGAGGGTATGTAAGCACGACTTCATATCAGTTTTTCACCAAAAACTAATATCAAGAACCCTTCTTGATCACTCCTACAGTGGAGAACGAACTGGCAATGGCGGCAGCAGGAGGAGGGCACAAGAGCAGAAGATGGTGCAGTCTTACTGTTGTTGTCTTCTCTCTTTCTGAGATCTGAGATCTGATTGAGTTGTTGTGTGTTCGCCCTCCTCCTCCTTTTATAGCCTTAAAGAGATCAGCTCCTAATCCCATTAGGAGTTTCCTAATTCAAATCCTTATTTGAATCTGTACTCTTTTTAAGAGATAATGATAAGCCCTTATCTTATATGCAGATTAGATCAGTCCTCCTAATCTTATTAGGAGTTTCTAAATCCAAATCTGTATTTGGATCTGGACTCTCTGAGTGGATAAGGATAATCCCTTATCCTATCTGCTGATTCAAATCCCAGATTCGCCCCTCTTTAATTAATCTAATTAAACCGGTTCGAATTGGGCTTTAGGCCCATTAAATCCATGTGCTCACTAACCTTCAAAACTGCTGCCAAATTGGGTTTTCTTGTATGGTGTGGGACCCAAACATTGATCTACACATCAACCACATGGGTTCGGCCTAATCTCTATTACAAGGCCTGGCCGAATTCATTGTAATGGACAGTGAACCCCTGAGTCCATCACCATGGGCTCTTAATGGGCCCAATACTTACACTAGGTGGTCCTTGGGCCAAGCCACCCTATAAAAACCCAGGGACTGTGGGCAGATGCAAGATTAGCCCATCAGGTATTACCCTCAATGGTCTTACACTTAACCTCTCAGCCCATAATGATCAAACACTGCCTGACAAGAGAGGACATTTCCCTCGGCTGCAAGGAACAATGTTGCACTCTCTACTCATATGGATCCCGGGAATTAAAACTTTTTGCAAATATTTTGAAACCGTAATATATATGTATCTCTTTATATAAATATATTTTGCAAAAACAAATTTCAACGATTGAAATCGGCTGCCGACAGCTTTGGTTTCCATCAGAGAGAGTGCATCCCCGATCATTATCATTGTCCGACAAAGGGGCTGATCCTGTTACTATGATCACCCACTCAGATTAGTTCTCAGACTGTCCCAACGTACCTAGTTTTTCACCCCCTCTAAGGATCTCACTGATTGACATATCAAAGACAGCTCAATCCAACACCTAGTGCAGTATCATAATCAAGTCTAGGGGTCAGGTGTAACATTCCAATTTTGCCCATCAATCTCCAAGGTCCAAGACAATACTAGAATTCTGATCCGGTTCAGGGTCTCAAGAAAAACTCACACTGCATGCACCTCACGTCTCACCCTGGAGCTGAGACAAGCAACCCCAACCAACTTAGCGGCACATCAGTGTTAATCTTGGCAGGATAAATCTCCTCAGATCTATCCAACAACTGTGAAGATTCTAAACTAACACGAGTCTCACATATGTCCAGTTTAAGGGTATTACACAGAAACACACCATAATAATATGAATCAAATATGTACTTTATTCATTTACATTAAATGTCATAATGTACATCATTCTGATTGGAGCTAAGGGCATACACTGTTTAACAACTGCTGCATTCACAGATGTGGTGAGAGATAGTCAAGATTCCTGTTTAGCTGTTAGGTCTAGCTCATGTCCAACTAATTTGCTCCGACAATCTTAAGTGATGACAGCAAAAGGTATTGTCTTGGTTAAGAAGTTGAGTATTAACAAGGAAATCGTGGGGAGTGACTGATAGTAGGTATGCCTGTGAATGATATCAGAACTCCGCAAACCGATCTAATATCACATTTGATTATCTTGGATTCGAATGATGAATTTATATAATGAGTTCACATTCAGATTTTGTAATTTGTATCTGATTAATAATTGGATTGGATTGGATTTGACTCCATTTGATCCAATTAAAATCAAAATCTGATTATATTATAACATTTATTAATTTTAATATATATAATTTATATAATTATATTTAAAATATAAAAATATATTTGTATATATTATATTTTATATGAATTTATATATATAATAAATTTAATGTTATATTTACATTAACTTATTATATACAAAAGTTGAAAAGTAATTATTTTTTTCTTTTTTTGTATTTTAAAAATTAAAGTGCAATAAGATTAAATCCAAATCCAATCCAATTCAAATGCAATTTTTCAATAATCAGATCAAGTTCAGATTTTACTGGATCCAATCCAAATCAGATCCATTTACAGCCCTATTGGTAATCAATTTTTCAAACTCATCAAAAGTCTACATAATTTAGGCTGCATTTAGCATTCCTTATTTTAAAGACTCCTTTCTATAGAAAAAAACTCGGTGTTCATAAGGGAATTTTAACCTCAAAAAGGAGATAAATCCTTAAAATTAGGAATGCCAAATGCAATTCAGGACAGTTTACGATTGGCAAAAGAAATTAATATAAATTTTAAGTTTGTTAAGAGGCTTGAAATATGGCAACTTATTTTACGGCTCTTAGGGGCTTCTTGGATCAAGGAAAACTGTTTTGTCAGGTTCCTAGATGGTTAGCGGAAGTTTTAATGATATTGTCACATAGGATAGGCTTGGGAAGCAACAGTCAACAGGGATCGTTAATTTATGTTTTTTTCCTTTGTTTGCATGCTTTTATAGAATGACGGTTCAACCCAGGGTCAGAATTTATAGGCTCAAAGTACTGTCGGGGTAAGTGCCAGCTCGGGATTAATGCCGATTCAGAAATCTGCATTGGACAAATCCGTACTTCTCCGAAATTTTAATTACTAAAATATAACAGACTTATCTACCAACCTCGATCTTATTTTACAAAATTACCCTCATGTGAAAAATTCCTTATCCAATACAATGGGGTATTTGATTTACTAAATAGGACTGGAGTTCAGGTCACTGGACAACAGTTCTTTGATTCCTATATGGCTGTTAAGTTCAGGTCATGTCCAATTTCTTCAGCAGTACCACAATAGAATACATCGATACAATCTTTAATAAACTACCCATGAATATCCAACGTTATTCCAACATAAGGAAATATTTACATAGGCTACCAAAGTGAGATAAAAATATCAAAAAGTCTCGAGTGATACAAAAAAGATGCATGTCTCAGAAGGACAGGAGTTACAGGACATCACTTACTCTTCAGAGTTTCACCAACAAACTCTGCAATTGCCTTGACTGCCTTGTCCTCAGCTTCATCTTGGGTTGATCCATTTGATTGTAGGTGTTTTTTTCCAATCTTGAAGGAGTGATCTCCACCATCAATCACATGCAATTTATTGATGGATTTCATCTTCTTGCAAACTGCAGACAGATTACCTAGTGGACAGAGTCCATCTTTGCTACCCTTCATCGAACAAATATTTGTGTAAGTAGGCACAGAAGACCATGAAAAATGGAAAACAAAAATAAATGGAGAAGGGGAAAGAACATAGAATGAGCATTCAATTGCAGTGCCATTTCAGCGGGAAAAAAATTGCAAAACGGTGACATTGAATAAATCTAATGCCCCATCATCGGTAAAGACAACAATTTTGTTAAAGTATTGCAGTAGCACTAAATTGGACATCTGAGGCCACTCATTAAATTGTGAGAACAGGCTACCAATAACCCAGAGACACATGCAAGATTCCAAGAATCAACTAATGGCTAACACATGTATAACCATCCAAGCTACCCCCGGCCCCCGTCTTGTGTAGCTCCTCCTAGTTTTACCAAAAAAACACATACATAAAGGTATAACCATCTAATATACAGGGTCACAGACATAAGGTACACATGCAGGATACAAGATAGGGCCTTTTTTTTATAAATAGATACAAGATAGGGCCATTGCCCAGAAATGTTCTTGGCAAGCCAGGGTTTTGGAGTGGTAGACCAGATATGGACCTAACCTTTGGCATCTACCTGCAGGGCCAAGGTACAACATGTAGGGTTAAATGGTTAGAGCCTAAAATGACTCCAAGATTCAGCTACCACATATAAGCATCCAATACAGAGTAACATACCGACCATGTGTTACAGTCTCACAGATGCAGAATCTTTTTTATTAGCCTAGAGTTCTGGTGTATGTGGCATCATAAGTTTTCCATTAAAATAAACATAGGAAAACCCTTTTTTAGCAACTGCGTGAGACTTAATGGGCTTGCCCTTATTCTCAATGAGTTTAAAGAGGTTGAGGCACAGAGGTTTAGTCCATATGTCCTTCCTTTTGGGTGTACAGTGCAGTATACTGTAACGCTTATATCTGCTTGGCCTTTCTTGTACATCATGACACACTCATTTATATCAATAAGATTTTTTTATGAATGATTATATCAATAAAGATTTTGATTACTCATTATAAAACAGTTATACCATCAGTTGGAAAGAGGCACCCAAATGCATGACAAACTACTCAACCAGCTGAAGCACTTTACTTTTAGGGGCTTGAAGTTGAGACCTCCCTTACAAGGAAGGTTGCTGCAAGTGGAACTATCTGGGAATGGGGTATTTTGGCAAGAGAAATGCTAAACCCAGGAGATGGTAGGCACTGTTCAGCTGTTCTATGCATATGCACTAAAAAGATCTCTTGTCAAACTGTAATGACAGCATGTACCAATCATATACCTAAAAAGGAGAAAATTACGAGGATGGGCTTTCTTTACCTAGTCAACCCCAAATAATTGGGATTACAACTTAGTAGAGTTGAGTTGACTTCCTTTTACCTGTACAAAGATCACAGGAATCTTGAGTAGCAACAATGTCTCATCTCGGACAGCTCCATTCATACCCTGGTACAAAATAAAACTCCTATGTAAGTATGAGCATCCTACCAGTATCAAGGAACACAGCTTGTTGATAATGGGTGATAATCCAAGTCTCCACCCTAGAACTGCATTGATGTAATTTCCCTTTCATGAAAAACTTTGCTAATTGCAGTTAATATTTTTATTGATTTTTTTAGAAACAAAATGATTGACCAAACAACTATGGTCACTACATCAGCTGATTTCATTTCATAACAATGCTATCATTTGGAAATTCAGATTGATGGGTACATAGGCCAGCCTGTATCAATAATTTATAATTAAATCCAAAGTATACTTCTAAGAAGTGCCAAGAAAGGCTTAAATTACATAAGAATTTGAATAAATAATAAAATAGCAATTATTTAGTAAAAAAATGTATTTCATGGCAGGGATATAGAGTAGAACTTAAGCAACAACCATGATACTCCAGAAACATGGCATCTCTTGCCAGACTAATAGGACCAACACCCAATATGGACTTAGGGGATCACTTAGTGATTAGATTGCTCATAACCACACATTATTCATTTGCAGTTGATGAAGATATGGTGCAGCGGGTATTGGAGGGGTAATTCAAAATAAAAATGGCATTATCAACTGGGCTTTTAGTGGGCCGATTGGAATAGCCTCCTCAGCAAAGGCCGAAGTCATGGCAGCTCTAACCGGCATCAGGATTGCAAAAGACATGGGCTTACTAAACCTTACCATTAAAGGAGATTTAGCCAACACCATTAATTGGCTTTCTAATCCTGACAGTGGGCCTTCGGCCTTAGCTCACTACCTGGCTGAAGCGAGAGACATCCTCTCTTCTCTTAATGCTCATGTAGTCTGGATCCCGAGGGAGCTAAATTCTGAAGCTGACAGTCTAGCTAAATCTGGCGCTCACAGGGATTACCTTTTTAGTGATAGTTTTCTGCCTATGTAACTTTCTGAGTGCTTAATTGTTGTGTACATCTCCTCATGTACCTCTTTTTTATTTCAAATAAAGTTAACCTTTTTTTCAAAAAAAAAAAAAAAAGATACGGTGCAAGTCCTTGATACTAAAAAAAGGCAATTTCAGAAACATCAAAAGAATCATAAAGTGATTTGAAGCAGTGAAGCAGATTAATGAGTAAGCATGTTCCAAATAACTATTGGAAGGATTTAGAAATATCTTGGGGTGCAGAGTGGAGAAATGGCTGGTAAAGCACAATGATATGGACGCGTTCCTCGGGAAGAAGTATCATCGCCGCCGGCAGCAGCAGTGATCCAATGTTCTCATCCTACCCAGTTCAGCAGCAACAGCCTTATCAGATTAGATTAGACTATCCTACTTGTTCTTATCTTATTACTAGATTAGATTATCTTATCTTACCAGATTAGGATTAAGAGAGACTTATCTTATCCTATCAGTCTTATCTTATCAAGATAGAGCAGGAGATCTCCCTATTCAGCAAGGAGTCTCCCTAGGATTAGGACTCTTGTAATCTCCTATTTAAGGAGACACCATTATTGAATGAAGGCATCGAATATTCAGTCCAGAAGTGAGTTAGGAGAGTTGGTGATCTCTTGAACAAATCACCAAGGCGCCAAAATAGGTTCATCAAGAGCAGGGAGGAACAAGAGAAAACAGGAGGTTTTCCTCGTGGACCGACCCGTGACAAGATCCTATTCGCGGGCCCTCAACAATTTGGTATCAGAGCAAGGCGTCATGGGTGATCTGGAGCAGCTGCCGTCCAGGGTCCACGATCTCGAGCACCAGCTCGTGGAGACCAGCTCCAAAGTACGTGAGATCAAGGACGAAATTAGGGAGCTTCGACGTCTGATGGAGTTATTCCTTGCTAGCAAGGAGAAGAACATAGAAGGGGTGACAGCCACTAGCGGCTGCCGACCAGATCAGCCGGAGTCTTCCGGCGAACAGCAGTTCATCAACCAGGGGGCCGCAGTCATCCCCAAGTACAGCAGGTTAGAATTCCCGTCGTACAACGGAAACGGAGACCCCTTGGGCTGGCTGTACCGGTGCGAGCAGTTTTTCCGAAATCAGCGGACAGACGACCGGGATAAGGTAAGCCTAGCCGCCTTTCACTTAACAGAAGAAGCGCAACTCTGGTTCTATCGATTAGAACAGGAAGAACCCGGGCTCAGT